ATATCTCCTCTTTTGTATGATATTGTCCACTTTGTGCCTAAGCCCTTCATAGATTTGCTTTTGGGCTTTTCCCCAAAAGGCCGCATACCAATGGAGATATTTGTTCATCCTTATAAACCTATGATCATCCCCACTTCTAACCAATGTGGGACTTTGGTCGCATACCCAACAATCCTCCATCGAACAAAGGACCACCGAGCCTCCCCTCAAACGATCATCCATCCGTCCACTCTCTACCAACCAGAATTCTCCACTCCAATGCGCTGGAGGCACACGCCTTACATGGAATACCACCTGTCTAGAGAGCTTACTCTATCCAGATCAACTCATCTTCACCATGTTGGGGTCAGGACACATCCATGAAGCATCCGGAGCACACCGCCTGTCCAATAGAGCTCATCCACGGATCCCATCGCGAGTGAGCCGAGGCTTACCACCTTCGTTCGACATTTTGAGGAATTCATCCACTTGACTAAGTTTGGGGTTTGGTTCTGATACTACTTGTTGGGCTATGAACACCACATGCATATCTCCACATTGGTATGATATTGTCCACTTTGAGCCTAAACCCTCATGAGATATTTGTCCATTCTTATATACCCATGATCATCCCCACTTCTAACCAATGTAGGACTTTGGTCGTATACCCAACACATCTCAATTTTATTCGTCCACCTGAGCAAAAAGTCACAGATGAAGATTCAAGTAGTAATAAACAATTTTAAAACTTGAGAGTTAATTAAATGAGTAATCAACAATATTTATCGTTAGTTACTACTTGCTCACAAAACAATTAAAAAAAGGGTTGTCAGTTGCTCAATCACTTCTACACAATGTTATCCATCTATCACAATTTCATTTTTTTTATACAGTTCGATTTGTTTATATGATTTTCATCATTTTTTGATTGTTTTTAAAAATTATTTTTGCTTACTCTATTTTTCTCATTTTCTCTTCTACAAAACTTGTTTTAGATTTTTATTGTTTGATTTACTTATATCGTTTCGTGATTTTTATTCTAGGAAATCTGCATAAATTTATTGTCTTCATTTACAACAATAAAAATGATTGCCTATCAACTTTTAAGTAGTAGTGTTATTAGAAGAACTGATATATTTACAGTGCCAGATGTAACTAATAAATATGATGTACACTAATTTTCTGATATATTGTTCTAGTAGTAACTGTTAATTAATAGTCTAAAAGTTTTTTGTAATGAAAGAAACCAATAAAAAATAAAATAAAAGGAAGATCGTACGCCTGTACTATTGGACTAAAAAAATATACAAGTTCTCAAATTTTTGAACATTGTCATAACACGAACGATATCATAGATAGGGATGGTAAAAAAGCTCACCGACTCAAACGGCTCGGAAGAAGCTTGAGCCGGACCCGGCTCGGGCTCGGTACTCATTTTTTTGGCCGGGCTTTGCTCGGCTCGACTCGGGCCCAAAAAAGCTCGGTCCAAAAAAACTCAAGCCGAGCCCTGAACTTTTTTATTTAATTTATAGTACGTATAAACCGTACAAATTTTAAATTTTTTAAGTAAAAATGTAAATTTGACATTAAAAAAAAAATCAAACGGCTCGGCCCGAGCTCAGTTCGGTCCGCTAAGTCTCGGTCTGAGCCTCATTTTTTTTTTTTTGGTCAAGCTTTGCTCAGCTCAGCTCGGCTCGGCTCGGGCCCAAAAAAGTTCGAGCTAAGCTCGAGCTTTTTTTTTTTTTTTTGCTCGGCTCGGTTCGTTGACATAACTAATCATAGACGATCACCTGAATGGCCTGTGCTTGAGATGGTTCTGTATTCGCATGTTAAGCAGAAAATAAAAAATTATTTTATTATAAAAATAGGAAAATAAATTCAAAAAAAAATAGAAGAAAACATTTAGGTGAAGGAATTATAAAAGAATATCAAACAAATTCCCGGGAGAAACAATAACGAAAATGAATAAATAAAAAATAAAAATTTGAGAAAAATAAAATATATTAAAAATGAGGAAAATAAAATCAAATAAACTGACCGAACAGTAAAAAAATTAAAAATACTTATTAGCTGATGAAATTCGTAGATGGAAAAATTGATGAAAATAGAGCGAACGTAAGTAATTTGTGGATTTCATCTAATAAATCACGAAAATCATATAAGTAGACTGAACAATAAAAATTGAAAACTAAATTTTGTAAAAGAAAAATTGAGAAAAATAGAGTGAGCAAAATTAATTTGCAAAAATCAATCTAAAATTCATGAAAATCATGTAACTGCATAAAAAGAGAATTGAGATGGATGATGAGTGAATAACATTGTGTAAAAGTGAGTGAATAACGAGTATTTTTTCACGTGACAAGTTTCAACTATATGTAAAGGTTGGTGATTACTCATTTAATTATCTCTTAAATTGTACACCATTTATTGTCACGTATGATTTTCATACCCTACATAGATTTTTTGTTCAAGTGGAACAAAATTGATATAAAATGTATTCACAAAAATATCAAATTTTATGTCTGTCAATTGAAATGTGTCTAATTTTGATAAATATTGTAGAAATGACCAAATTTGACACCAAAATATCCATTATACTCTTAATGAAAGAAAAAAAAAATAAACTTTTTCTAATTGTTTTATAATT